AGTACTGCCTCTGGCCCACTATGACTTGGTGGTGGGTATGGACTGGCTGGCTCAGCTCAATGCAGGTCGATTGGGCCCAGAAATGGTTGGTCATTCCATATGAAGGTGCTTCCCGGGCATTGCAGGGGGAGCTACACAGCTTGCCTCCCGGCTTGGTCATCCAGGTGACTGCTGTAACTGATCACAGCACTAATTCTGCTCCACCCACTCAACCGGCCGCTATAACTCAGCTTTTGCAAGAGTTCCAGTCTTTGTTCGAGCCACTGCAGAGTTATCCCCCGGAGCGTGCTTTTGCCCATGAAATTCGGCGATATCGGGTATTTGCTCCGTCAACGTTTCGCCTTTATCGTTACCCCCCGCTATAAAGGATGAGATTGAGCGCCAAATCACTACAATGCTCAACTCCGGCATTGTGCAACCTAGTCAAAGCCCCTTCTCCTCTTCTGTACTCCTTGTCAAGAAGAAGGACGAGACGTATCGGTTTTGCGTGGATTTGTGCATCTCAACGCGCCATCACGAAGAAAGGCAAAGTACCCAGTCTGCGGTGATTGAGGAGCTTTTGGATGAGTTGCATGGGGCGTCTGGTTTTCAACCTTGGACTTGACAACGAGGATATCATCAAATTAAATGTCAAGCCGGGTGAAGAACATAAAACGGCATTCCAAACTCATACAGGATAGTATGAATTCCGTGTGATGGCGTTTGGATTGACTGGAGCGCCCGCTACGTTTCTGAAGGCCATGAACATCACATTGGGGCCATTATTGCGCAAGTGCGTGTTAGTATTCTTTGACGATATCTTGATATTCAGTAGGACTTTGGAAGAACATATTGAACATGTACGCCTAGTGTTGCAACTGCTGCAACAGGACAGATGGCAAGCTAAATTCTCCAAGTGTGTCTTTGCTCAGCGACAGTTGCGTTATCTAGGACATCTTATCTCTGAACAAGGAGTTGCCACTGATCCGGACAAAGTGCAGGCAGTGTTGCAATGGCCAACTCCTTCCTCTGTCAAGGAATTGCGAAGCTTCTTGGGATTGGCCGGCTATTACCGTCGCTTCATACGCCATTTTGGTATGCTCTCCCGGCCCCTCACTGATCTTCTCAAAAACGGGGCACTATTCGTGTGGACTGAGGTTCAGGAGCAATCATTTTCGGCACTCAAGAAAGCTTTGACCTCAGCTCCGGTTTTGGCCATGCCCAACTTTTCTAAGCCCTTCGTCATCGAGACTGATGCTAGTGGAACTGGTGTCGGTGCAGTATTGATGCAACAGGGCCATCCTCTGGCATTCCTGAGTAAATATCTCAGTCCTCGTTTACAGGGCCTGTCCACTTATGAAAAGAGTATCTGGCAATTCTCATGGCTGTTGAGCAATGGCGCAGTTATCTACAGTTGGCTGAGTTTCAAATCCTGACTGATCACAAGAGCTTAGTACAGTTGGAGGAACAGCGTCTTCATACTCCGTGGCAGCAAAAGGTTTTTACTAGGCTCCTTGGCCTGCAATATCGCATTGTGTACAAGAAAGGCGTTGATAATGGAGCGGCCGATGCTTTGTCACGAGTTCCGGTAGTGCAATGTGCTGCCATGTCTGTCTGTCAGCCTGCATGGTTGCTTGAAGTGTTGCAGTCTTATGACAGTGACCCGGTGACTCAAGAATTGTTGGCCAAGCTCTCAGATAACTCTATCTCCACCTAATTACACTCTTCAAGATGGTCTTATTCGTTACAAGGGCCATATATGGGTTGGGAATGATGCTACCTTACGTCTAAAATTAGTGCAAGCAATGCATGCCAGCGCGGTTGGAGGACACAGTGGGGTACCGGTAACTTACCGGCGCATTAAGCAGCATTTTTATTGGCCTGGTTTGAAGGCCGAGGTGCGTGCCTTTGTGGCTGAATGCCAAATATGCCAGCAGGCGAAGCCCGACCGCAACAAGCTTCCAGGGCTTCTTCAACCGTTACCAGTGCCCGAACGTGCCTGGAAGGTGTTATCTTTGGATTTCGTGGAGGGATTGCCTATGTCTGAAGGGTACAACTGTATTCTGGTGATCGTGGATCTCTTCAGCAAGTATGCCCATTTTCTAAGTCTCCGTCACCCCTTCACCGTTGCTACAGTTGCTAAGCTCTTCATTTCTCAGGTCTATCGCCTTCATGGTACGCCTACTGCTCTGGTCTCTGATCGCGATAAGATTTTCACCAGTGCTCTATGGTGTGAATTGTTCAAGTTGGCCAAGGTAGAGCTTCACATGAGTACTGCCTACCACCCTCAATCAGACGGGCAGACCGAGCGGGTAAATCAATGTTTGGAGACCTTCTTGCGTTGCTATGTTCATGCTTGTCCCAAACAGTGGCATCAGTGGATTGACTTAGGCGAGTTTTGGTACAACAAGAGTTGGCATTCGGCATTGGGGCGATCTCCTTTTGAGGTGCTTTATGAATATGCTCCTACACATTTTGGCATCAGTTCAGCGAATGAGCAGCCTGTTACTGACATTGCTAGTTGGCTGCATGATCGTGAGCTGATGTCTACAGTTATACGGCAGCATTTGCTCCGCGCCAAGCAGCGTATGAAACATGCTGTTGATAGTCATCGTTCGGAACGTCAATTTCAAGTTGATGATTGGGTCTTCCTCAAGCTTCAACCCTATTTGCAAACGTCAGTTGCTGATAGAAGCAGTCAGAAGCTCGCTTTCAAGTACTTTGGACCTTACAAGGTGCTGGCCCGTGTTGGCTCGGTCGCGTATAGTCTTGAGCTTCCACCTTCCTCTACGGTGCATCCCGTCTTCCATGTTTCGCGGCTCAAGAAGGCGGTGGGTGCTCGCCACACGGTAACTATAACTCTACCTCCGGCGTCTGCTCAATGGAGTATTCCTAAGCGCATCCTCCAACGCCGTCCGGTGGTGCGTGGTAAGAAATTCATTCAGCAGGGTCTTATTCAGTGGTCTAACATGCCAGTTTCTTTAGCCACTTGGGAAGACCTGGAGTACTTGCATCAGCAGTTTCCTCGCGCCAATTTGTGGCTGCAACATGGCGCGCAAGAGAGGGGGAATGTCAGCACTACATCAGCTGACACTTATCAGGCGCAGAGTTCAGCTTCAGCTGGAACGCTGGCTTCAGATGGGCCACAGGAGGACAGGCCGAAGAGGCCTAGGACTGGCAATCCACGCTACACCGGGCCGGAGTGGACATCCAAGTGATCCAGCGACAGAGGCGTGCGCGCCGCTGCTTCTGAACCGTGTGGAGTGTTTTGATATATAGACTAGTACCTTCTTGTAGAAGGGGTATCAGCTATTGTAGCGAAACCTATCTGCTACTAAGAACTCATCGTTGTTCCGGTTCCCTTGCTGTGCTTCCCTGCCTGGATTCCAATTCCCCTGTTCGTCCCTAATCTGCTGTTAACAAGGAACTGGTCAACCATCTTGTGTGCTTAGTAAACAGCCCGAGCTGGTACTCATCAAAAGGGCAACTCAACTAAGCAAAGCTACAGACGAACCCCTCTTGCAAATGTTCCAAGCAACTAACAATTGGACATTCCCGGAAGCCCCCTTTTTGCTCGGCGGAAATAATAGACGAAAACTTACGATTTCGAAAGCCTGTTTGGCTTACCTGGCGAATCCCAGATTGATAAGGAAGCCTCGCCGAGTGACCGCCTTCAGCAAGAATTCCCAATCGATTGACCCCACCGAGGCGCCGGCACCTGCTGCCCCCGGAGGCGTCCGTCGCCACGAACCGCCGCCGTGGCCGTACCCATGACCGTACCCGTAGGAAGCCGACGAGGAGGCCCAACCAGAGGAGGAGGTGCGCGCGTAGGAAGACGTGGAACCGCGAAGGCGGAGGTCGTACTCGGCGCGGCGTCTGTCGTTGGAGAGGACGTGGTACGCGTCGGACGCCTGGCGAAACCGGCGCGTGGCGTCGGCACGGGCGGCCGCGTCGGTGGAGCCGGCGTGGCGATCAGGGTGGTCGCGCAGCGCGCTGCGGCGGAAGGCAGCCTTGATCTCAGCCTTGGTGGCGTCTCGCCGGATACCCAGCGTCTGGTAGTGGTCGCCCATCGCCCGCCTGCGCCAAGGCGATCGGATTCGGTCGCTGGATCGCAGGAGGAAAGGCGAAGGAGCAGGGAGAAGAGCCGGGGGTCTCAGGAGACGAAAGGGATCGGCGGCGACGGCGGCGTCGTGGCCGCTCTGCCTGCCGCGCCTTCTTCCCGGGCCCGGCTCGGCTCTTTGTAGCATACTGGGCCGAATTTGCGCTAAGCCCACTGAACCGAGGCTTCCATCTTCTGCCAACAGTCAAAACACCATTTGATTAATTGGATTTTACTTTTACACCCAATATAAACAGATTTTTCTCCTCAACAAAATGGATGGACAGGAAAAGGAACTAAGAAAATGAAATTTCTACAAACAATTTATTGCGTCGAAAAGTAGGAAGGTAAACATTTCAGAATGCCGAAAAAGATGCCACTATTATCACAACAGTACAAACTTCACACAGTTTGCGCAATATATTCACAACAGTACAAACTTCACAACAGTAGCCAAAGGATGGCTAGTCCAGTTGATTAACTGAGATATGCTAGTCACTTTGGCGGCACCCTCCAAGTCCTGAGTTCGACTTCCAGTGAGAGCGAATTTCAAACTGGGGGTTAAAAAAATCTCCTCGCCAGTCCCAGGTACCAAAGCACTGGTTTAAAGGAGACGGCCCATCTCACGAGTTACGTCTCCCAGTGTCAGGCCAGGGCCGGGGTTTGGGGTTTTCTCAGCGTGTGTGAGAAGGCCTTCTTCTTACGTATAATGCCCGGGGTGGCTTGCCCCTCGCAGGTTGAGTTTTTTTTATCACAACAGTTCAAACTTCACACAGTTTGCGCAATATATTCACTTGATCAGATGATATGTATGCCCAGCAAAACCAGAGCGGCAGATTTCGAAAATCAGATTGTATACAGCGTCCATCGTGCGGGACGGTTAGGGGGACAACAGACATATGAAACTTCAGTATCTAGGCATCTAGGGAGACACGAGTTTCCGGTGCACATGCTCGTGGAGAGAGTGCTCATCACCATCGTGATGATGGAACACATATGTTAAGACTCCGACAAGGCACAGCACAGTGCCGACGAGGATCTTGTCATAGCGCTCAACCCAGTGGAACTTGATTTGGCTAGCACCATAGAATGAAAGGGCCACCAAGGATGTCATAACTGTGATGGTGCTGCAGGAAGAAACGAAATGGATGAATTGAAAAGAAGAATCGCTGTAACAAGCATCTTTTTGGTACTTCATGCAACTATCACATTAGAAATAAATCTGAAGGAAATAAAGGATCTGAATGACAGCTAACAATACTTACCCCTACAAACCATGGTTGAACAAAAGTGTGAATTAGTATACAGATAAAAAAGAATTGAGAGCTGCACTAATAAAACTGCCGCTTATTTTAACATGAGTACATGACAATAACTAGTGATCCCGTCCTACTCTCGTCTAGATTGGTTCCCTCAGTCAATTGATCCTAATATACATATGTGCTACAACAAAATGATGACTAACGAAGCAAGAGAAACATCTCAAAAGGAAGATCTTGCAAAGCTGAAAGAAACGAAATTATGAGGTCATACTTAGAAAATGCATTGGTACACTATTCTACTTGAGTTTGTTCCTTTTTGTCTCAGTGTGCTCCAAGTATCAGCTAAGGTAACACAGAGTGCTCATAGGTCCTGACAGATGAAATCCTGCTGCTAAGAAACTTCTAAGAGGCGAGGAGGATGTAGGTAATCCTGATGATCATGGGTCAGCAATGCTACTTTTTTGCTTCATTATTTTAGATAAGGATAAAAACATCTTGCCATAATTAAATCTTTTTTGAACTTTAGTGAGTTAACACAAACCCAATAACAGACAGGGCATGATAGTACAATTTTAATTGGTAGTGCGAACAAGTAAATAACAAAAAAATAGTGGAGTGGAAGGAGGTGAAGACCTGAAGAGCAGCACAATGATCGCAAGAATCATCATTGAGGAAGAGTTGCCAACAGCAAGAAAAACTGGAAGAGTTGTTGCACAGGGTGATAATGCAGGTACAAGTACAAGACCGGCGACTGCCATCTTTTCCATTGGATGATTATGAGCATGGCTATGACCACCTTTTCCTATGGCAAACAACAGGATATAACTTCCTCCAAGAAAAATCAGCAACAGCGAGGCAAGTTTATGCACTGTTTCTTCGCCAGCTATAGTATTTGCCATAGTAACTGCAGTTATCCCGAGAAGAGCAGTAGAAACAACATGAAGAACACCGCCAAATGCAGCTGCAGAAGTTAGCAATCTTTTCTTAGTACAAACATATAGAAAGAAAGGCATCATTTGCAAAATAACAATGTCCTAATCACTAAATCACACAGAAAGTACAAGAATGAAGAATACTGACATTGCAAGTTTTTAGAGAGTACACTACCCAGGATAAGCAAACAGGGTGCACCAAAACAGTGGAAGCAAGATGAGATAAAACAAGATGTAGTGCATGAATCATAACTTTGTGTTTAATCATCATTAATTCTTAAGAGATCACGACGAATATGATGCAATTAGTACACTGCCAGCTTAGATCACAACTATAACTTCTCTCTTAGAAGCTGCTACAGCCTAATACAGAACCAATTTTAGGCATGTGCTGACAACTGGTCTAAACAAAGCTTTGTCAACACTTGTTTGCCCAAACATGGCTATGGATAGAACACATGACATTACTTGCATTACTAAGAAACACTGCAACAGCCATCTGTCACAATCACCGCAAACCGATGTACTCTCTCCGTCCCAAAATAACTGTCACCGTTGGTGTGCGTGCCACAAGTTTGACTTGATTTGTAGAAAATACGTGCAACATTTGTATCTCCAAATAAATTTATTTAAAAACTTGATTCAAATATCCTTCCAATGATACTAATTATGTACCATAAATATTAATATTTTTCAATATATATTTAGTCAAAGTTATTTATCGGGAAACAAAAACGACAGATATTTAGGGCCAGAGGGAGTACACATGAAATCAGCACAAGTCGGAAGAAGACATGGACACACGTTCCCTAGCAAATTGTATTCCCTGAACCGTGGAACAATATTCCACCAAGAAAGGAAGGTAACAGAAGCACATATGCAGTCTACTATCTCCCTACAAATCCATCCACGCAGAAAATGAGACCATGGGAAGCGTGGGCACCTGAATATGCTGTCATTGCCCATGCAATCTCATTTGGATGTTCAGGCAGCACTCAGCATATGCCATAGGCACTAGGCAGCAGCCAGGCACCACCACAGTACGCTACCCTGGCACAAGAACTGGCACCGTTTGTTTATGCCCCGATGCACAACCGGATCCAACCACGGGAACTAACCACCGAGAGCAGCCCACCCAACCTGAGTAAAACCCTAATGACCCTCTCTTGCCACGATCAATTGGGCGCGAGCCTTCACCCACCCTCGTCAAACTATGCACCAGATCTGGAGGCGGTAAACAGTAACGAGCTGCAATCGCAGCAACCGGCGAAAACGAGGCACGGGGAAGGAAGGAAGGAAGGGGAGGTGGGTACTGACTGACGAGGAGGGTGCGGGAGAGCGGCCAGCGCTGCGCGCGCGCGACGATGGAGAAGGGGAGCCAGTGCGTGGGGATGAAGGAGTGCAGCAGCGACACCGTGGCGATGCCCCCGATCGTCGACGCCTCCTCCGCGGTCCACCGGAAGCCGCCCAGCCCGCCGCCGTCCATCCCCTGCTCAATCCGGTCAGCTGCGCGCCACCGCCTCCGCCGCCGAGACTCGAGCCGCGACGAGCCGCAGTCCCCCGGGCGCCGCGACGGGACGGTTGGGGAGCGGGAGATCTGTGAAGGGGAGGGTGCGTGAGAGGTGGGAAGAAAGCGAGGGGAGTTGGAGTGCGAAGCGTGCGAAAGCGGTCCGGCCCCAACTGCGCAGGCCGGGGTCCCGTTCCGGCTAGACCGCTAGACGAGACGGTGTGCTGGGGTCCGCCGTATTCAGCCCAGCCCAGTATCTCTCGTCCTGTATTTCAGTATTTGTGCCTATAGTACATTGAAGCGCGCGATACAAGTAAACTGTGCAGATACGGATATACTCCATTTTCAAATCAAATTCTTCGTGAAATATGTTTTGTGTTTATTTGAACAGCACTTAAACGGAAAGTGGAAACTTTTGTTTAGATACTAAATGGTGCGTTAAATAGTTTAACTATTTATATGATAAAAACGGTCTAAACAACTTAAACAAAACAGAGCATCTCAATATAGAGAGAGTGGGATTTTTTTATAGATTTGTTTCAAAGAGGCTTTAGGTTGGGAAAGGAGTCTTGGTAGCTTCCAGGAAGTTTTTGAATACCGGATCCTTTACAGACAAGAGACTAATATCATATAAAATTCTTTATGCTTTCAACTATTTTGTGGACCATGTGGAACATCTGAAATAAAATGGGGATAGAGAAGAAGTTTCCCCGATCATCTAATGAATTTTTTCATAAAATATTTTGTATCCTACAGAAATGGCAATTATTATTGGAGAAGGGTGATATCAGATACTTGAATGACAAGATTAATTCAATGACAAGCTTGCTGGAAATCTTCTGAAAGTATACTGAGAATCTGGAAGTAGAAGGGCTTTTGTGAGAATTTAGATATAGCGCTTAGCTCTTTTTTGTTTTGCATGATTGTTTCATCTTTGTTCTCTGGTTTGAACTAGGAGGGTTCAATTTTCTTTGTTAGTTGGCAATCCCAGCGGTGATGTTGGTGTGAGTTTTTAAATTGTGTAAACACTAGGTAGCGTGTCTGTGCGTTGCTACGGGATAACTAACAATTTATACTAAAAACACACGGATCGCACGATAAGATAACAATACTGTAAAAATTAAATATCAACGTTAAAATTACAGTTAATCCAAAAAACAAAGTTTGTGAAATTAACAGTCACGGAGAGCGCAGCGTCACAGGCTTATAAACTCTACTTTATAGACCTTTCCGTGATGCATCTAAGATAATGTTTTATATCGGCAGGAAGAAATCTCCGATATCTATTTCTTTCGTATGCGCCAATAAATCCACAAATAAGTTACGCCACATCTCCATACCATCCCGCATACCAAAGCTCGAGTATATATGTCAATATTAGTGCCTGTCGCGTGGGTAATATTGCGTCTCTTAAAAAATCTTCCACAAAAACTTAAAACAAAGTGTTATACCCATCGTATAAATATGTGTGGCTTTTGGTCTATTCCACGTAGACATATACTGTAGAATAAGATATCCACGTAAAGTGTACGTGGTAAGATTCACGATCGATATATAGAAATAGTTAAATCGTAGATATTATTATTGCAAGCCATAGTGACTCTGCGTTAGTTACACATCTATGTCCTCTGCAATGTTTCCTTCCCGTCTGAATTTCCATTTGAAGATATCCTCATTCCATCCAGGAACCTTCCCGTCTGAATTTCCATTTGAAGATATCCTCATTCCATCCAGGAATATGTACATTCACTGCGTCGTCTGTACTTCAAGATAAATCCAAGAGTGTACGGCATACATCGGTATTTGGTGTGTCTTTATACCGATCTTCAATAGGTCTAGGATCAATCATAATAAGCAACTTCTCCTTACGATCGAAAATATAAAGCATATACTTTCGAGCGTGTAGCCATGACAAAAAAAGCGCAAACATAGTAGCGTTTAGAATAGTATATAGGAAACAAGTAAGAAAAGCGAGAACAAGCGACTTTATATATCTGCATTGTGCTAAGCTGTTTTCCATATCCTCACATACACCAATCGCAGCAGTCATTTCTTTCTTAGTGTATTTTTTACGATATTCTAGCATTTTTGTTAAAGCACACATTTTTTGGAAGAGAAGAATATCGAGTCAGGATTAGTATAACTTGGCCTACTTTATACAATTAGGAGAACAATAAATAAGACAATAAATATAGCACGATAAGAATTTAAAAATGTGCTTACCACAGAATCTCGAGTCCATGTGATGCTTCGTAATACTATTATATTTTTTCCTTGTATTGTACTCTCGAGTCATGCAAAACGGACACCTAAGTTGAAAGCAGTTCTAAGAGATGTCTCGATTGTTCGTTAACAACTCTTGTAGGTCCTTGACACTTAGGGCAATCATGGAGGATGAAAACCTTTAACCCAAGGCTTTCAAAGCAAAGCATTAGACATGAGATGATGGTTTTCGTCATATAAGATAGCACACTATTATTAGTAAATAAAGTAATTAAAATAAGTATGTAGCTTACTTCAACGTCGCTTCATCCTGAATTGCCATGACGTAATCATACAGTAACTCAGTCATCTCTTCCTTGTTCATTGGCATGTCTTTCATGGCCTCAAATGCCCAAAACTCATCAGGATCTTGGTTGGCATGGACTTGTGGGGATTTATTCTGAGTTTGTATGCGTTGAGGGGTGCCCGTTTGAACCACTAAGCATTCGATCTCCTCATAATGTTTCTCTTTTTGTGGACACTTGATCACCATCTTTGGATTCTCTATTATGGCACGATCGCTTGGACTTTCAATATTTTCATCCCTATCAAGATATGGAGCACCCTTTCATTTGTTTAACTCTAATGATAGCAAGATCACCGCAAGCTTCAATCTAAATTCTTTCATATCATCCTGCATGATAGTATGAACCTAATTAATTATTAATTAAAAATCCATAGCTAGTGCACTCTCATAACTTGTGGTAAGACGCATAGTTTACCTTATTGAACTCGTCTAACAAATCGTTCCCAGTCCAATACTCCATAAAGTTTATTAAGAATAAACCGCATGAAAAACTACAGTAGGGGACCGTGACGCCTAAGAGGGGGTTGAATTAGACGACTTAAAATTCTACTTCTAAACTATGGCATCTTTTTCTAACCTTAGCAAAACCTATGCAAAAGATAAACTATCTAAATGTGCAAATACGGTTTTTCTAGTATGTTGCTATCTCTACCGCAAAAGGAGTAATACAATCAATGTAAATGCAGAAGCTAAAGAGCAAGATAGAGATATGCAAACTTCCGTCGACGACTCCGGTATTTTTACCGAAGTATCGAGAAGCACGCAAGCTTCCCCTGGTCCTCGTTGGAGCCCCTCGCAAGGAATCTATAACACCCCATGTGTTTGTCACCAATTAAGTAATGGGTTTGAACTCAAACATGGCATGTTAAGTGGTGATGAAGGTGTCAAGATCAAATCTACAAGAGTGAGCTCCAACTTAAACTCGGGCAACACACCTTTGCTTGCATATTGGCCCTTTTTGGATATTTACCTAAGTAATGTTGAAGGTGCTTATTTCATGTGTCTCACATCAAATTCCACCCACATGAATGATTGGAAAAGTTTCATTAAGTTTGGAATCAAGAAGTCACCTGAAATGATAAGTTAAAATCTTTCTTGGATTGCTTTATTAAGTGAATAGAATTATAGGTCATCAACCAAACCTTGCTACCTTGTCCAAACGACTCTAATTGAACTCTACAACAAAATTCATGAAGGGTTCGTGTTGAGCAGAACTCAAGAAAATGCCTTAATCGGTCTAAAACTCTAATTTAAGTTTTACCGCGATGCTACTTTGACCTATGTTGACCAATTGCTTACATTGCTTGCATGGAGTTACACCTTAAATAAAAGTTAAAGTTTAAGTTGAATAGAACTAAATTTGTTTGATGCTCAAGAGCTAATTCAGTGCCTAGCTAGGTCAAATGGAGCTCACAAGAATCAACAAACTGCTGTTTTTGGAACCCTAAAATTTGGCTAAGTGTAGATGACGAACTTCCAGTTTTCAGTTTCAATGTACCCATATTTGGCGAATTTTAGTTTGCAAACCATTTCGAATTTGAGAAAACTCCTTTAAGGAAAGTTAGAGTACTCTTGTAGCCCTACACAACGGTGTAATCGGTGGAACAAATAATCGATCGGTTTAGGAGATATGATGGGAGAAAAATAGAATTTCAGCTTGTATTTTCGCGGTGGTATTAGAATTTTGAATCAGTTGAACAGTTTAAATGGCCGACCGACCACAGGTGCGCGATGTCGCGTGGCGTCCCAGCTCACCCCGCGCTTGCCACCTCGCCCTCGTTCGCTCACCACGTCGCTCCTCCGATTGAGAAAAACCTAGCCCTACCCTCCTGCCCTCTCCATTCTCCTCCCTCCTGCTCGCTCGCTCTCGCGCTTTCTCCCACTGCTCTCGGGCCTAGGAGCGCGGGCGCGCCATGGCTGCCGCGGCAAAGCCATGCCCCATCCACCCTCGCTGCTCGACACCTCCAACCATCTGAGCACCCATCCCCACGCCCCTCCAGCGCCTCCTCGCGTCGTCCCCCAGCCAGCGAAGCGCCGGAAAGCACCGCCGCCGGAGCAACAGTCGCAGCAGCCGCTTGTCTCTGTGGCCAGGCCACTACGGGCCACCTCGGGCCGAGCGGAGCAGCCCCACGCGTGCGCGTCGGCTCCCTGGTGCTCCACCGCCACTTCCCCGAATCCAGCATGGCCCCCAATGATCGGAGCCGCGAGCTCCGACGGCCTCCCCTGCTCTGATTCGCGTGAGGGGCTGCGTACAACAATTAGAAGAAAGGCAAGGACCAAACTGCAAACCGTAGACTCTTATGAATAGTGCCTTTTGGACCTATTTGTTTTAAATCGGCTAAAGGTTTGGAAAATCATAATAAATCATAGAAAATTTGTAAAATAGCAAATAAGGACTTTTTGGAATCCT